CAAAAAAAAAAAAAAAAAAAAAAACTACGATTGTTCACCGGAGTTGGCAAGTGTATTGGCTTGTGCCAGAATCGAAATCTTTGCGTCTCTGTGGGTGTTCAAAGAAAATAATAGGCCTCGGCAACGATTTGCAAGTTTATGCTGTGAAGAATTAAGGTTTAGGGGTTTCGATGGCTGCTTCTCCTCAGCAGTTCTAAATTGATTCGTGAGGAAGCAAAAATTGGCACTTTCTTAGTTTCGTAACAAAAATATCTCAATTACACGCGGCGATGTTTTTTTTTCTTAATTTTCCAAAGTAAACGCGGCAATTCTAGAATGAACCAAACCCACGTTGGAGGTGAACGTTTCTAGTAAATGCAACTCTACAAAATAATGTTTATATTTCTTTTTTGTTTTTCTAAAAATCAATAAATTCAACAATATCAATACTTCCCCAACCAAAAAAAAACAATTATTAAAGCATGTGTATATATATATATATATATATATATAACAAACTAATGGATTTAAATATGAATTTCTTTTTAGTTGTTTGGTTTCTTAATAAATAATAAATAGTAGAAAATTATTTTCATCCATATGCTATTATTATCGTAAACAGTCGCGTAAAAAAAAAACTTTCTAAGAAATGTTTTCACAAATCGAGAATATATTAATCCAAATTAATAGATTATTAAAAAAATAAAAATAAATAAAAAATAAAAAAAGAAAGAAGCTCCAGTCTCATGGGCATGATAGTAGTATGGTTTGAATAATGAAAGTCTCACATCTACTAATTTAGGGAATAATATGGATTTATGGTTTGGAGGATGAAAGTCTCACATCTGCTAATTTAGGGAATAATATGGATTTATGGTTTGGAGGATGAAAGTCTCACATCTGCTAATTTAGGGAATGATATGAAAGTCTCACATATGCTAATTTAGGGAATGATATGGGTTTATAATTAAGGATAGTCTCTCTATTGGTTGAAGGCCTTTTGGGGAAGCTCAAAGCTTGGTTTGAGGCCTATTGCTTATGCTCAAAGGGCACAATATCATACCATGGATAGTCGTGTTCGTCTAACATAGTCAATTATATTTCTATGTATAAAATTAAAAAAATAATAATGATAAATTTTTTTAAAAAAAGAAATGCGTATTTTGAATATTGGCAAACATATATATGAATATGATAAATGAAATTGTGGGGGATATAATAATATATTGGATGAGCAACACATCATACATTAAAAAAAAAAATCCAAGACATCAAATACAAAAAGGCAGAAATTGAGAAGAACAGTCTCTGCAACTAAGATGGGAAGCAAATGCTCTAAACAAACAACAATCTGATACAAAAAGGAGCTTTCAACAACATTTCGCCTCCAATCTGGTTCCATTCAGTCACGTTCACTTATTGAAGTCAGATGTTCGTCGACCTCCTCGGTTGTCAACACTCTAAACACAGGATTTCCTTGCCTCACCACTCCTACCTGTTTGTGTCAAAGTGTTCAACCTCTAATTACTCGTGTTTGTACAACAATTTACTAACTCATAACTCAGAAATTTTTTGGAATATCAAGTAATCTATGTGATCTTACAAATGGAGTGATAATTGGAGCTAATAGAAGTTGTCAGAGAAACGTTTCGAATGACCTTAAACTATGGTTTAGATCTAGGACTTAAATGCAGATTTCGACAAATATATATCATCAAAATCATACAAGCCTGTTAAAATTGCTAAATTAGTTTTAAACCAGTAACGACTCTACAATTGAGTTATATCACATTATTATTTGTATTTGTATTCACATGGTCAACAATTGTAACCTCCTTTCTATTTTTTTTTTTAACATTTCCTTACCATTAAAGGAAACAGAAGACTTCTCCCCAGTACAGTATCAAACCCTTCGTCTATAAAACGATAGAAATTCTGCTCTATGGTATTAAGACTACCATCACATTATCACTCTATTGTAATTAAAAAGGACAAGTGAGAGTATCAGAACCTCAATTTCATTTGCCTTGAAGTCCTCTTGCAGAACCGATTGGAGGGCTGAAATTGCAGTCTGCAAATGGAAAAATAACAATGTTGGACGAGGCATATACATAAAACAAAAGACAAGAACCCACGCGTGTACAAACTCGTTATAATTTTTAGGTTTTGCTGTGAGTCATGTAAAGTTTGAAAGAAAGCAACATTGAACTGTATTTTCTCTTCATAGATAAGTAAAGACAAGCATCCATGTGAGAGCAAGGATCCTAAATCATTACAATTATTAGGCTTTGATGTGTATCAGTAAAGTTCGAAAGAAGCACATCCGACCTGTACTGTCTCTTCATAGGTGAACTCTGGATCGTTCTTCATTTTCTTTTCCAAGAAATTGATTGATTCCTGCTCTTTTAATCCAGCACTCGTAGCCTAAACACATTGGAAAATAACGTGTTGAGCATAGTGATGAAATACCAAATTCAAAAACACCATGGAAATTTTCAATGAAGTTAAAAAAGGAATTAAAATGAAAAATAGAGACCAACTTTAGAGAATATGCACTCTATACATGAATATCTTCGAGAGAACCGTGAAGATACACTCATGATATCTGATGCTACTATGATATTATATATAAATTCAGCCATAACTAATGTCTAATGTACAAAACAATCCACATGAAAAACATCTAGCAACTATTGCACTTGAAGTGGAGCAAGAGTTTGCAATACATTGACACAAATTTGATGCTTAAAATATATTTTCAAGCTCACACAGAACTGGGGGGGTAGTTGGAGTAAAAGAAGCTTAATCTCAAAATCATAGATAATTAACTATTCCAGGTTGGCAACTGGAATAGAAAAATGTAAATATTTCAAAATGGAGTCCCTCCTAAAATATTGACCATAAAAGTAAATATATTAACTATACAAACCTTGTGACCAAAAAAATGACCAGCTGGATCACATTTGTAGAGACAAGGTCCAAACTCATCATCAATACCTAAAACCATAGCAACTGATGCACACGAATGAAAGTAGCAAAAGATTAAAAATTATGGTTAGATCACTTTTATTGTCCATAAAGTCAAAGGATGAAATCTAAAATATAATGCAACACCAAAACCGGAGAAGAAAACATACCTACTCCAAGTGGTCTCATATAGGCGTGCTGAGTATAGATTTGCGATTTATCAGCTATCCTGCCAACCAACAATACAGCCCAAGAAAGTTAAAGAAGCCAAAGTTTTAATTCCCATGGTAACAAATTACACACAATTGTAGTGACTGCATAATATATATATCGATATGTACGAAGAAAATAACTGAAAGCAATAGCCATGATGGAAAAGAGATGTATGCAAAGAGCTGCTACATTGTGCATGCATAGAAGACAATATCACAACACAAAAAGAAATATACATAAATTAAATTTCAAGTCATAAATTCACAATATCCAGAACAAGATTCTGGATAATTGAATAATAAACTACAGTCAGTAAGCAACATGTGGAGCTATTCTTTGCTCTACAATCCAGAATTCATATGATTGAACAGACTGTTTGCCTGCGTGGTATATAATTAAAACAATAATCGTGTAGTATAGTATGAAATAAATATGGTACCATTTAGCTAATACATCCACCGGCATCTCATATCCATATCTAAAACGAAACTCAGCTGCTTCACTCCTTGCTTGCTGAACCAAGGTTCTGGCATCAGCTGACAACCGTATAAAAATCATATCAGCGGCCACTCATCCTAAAGAACCACTGGAAAGACCCCCAATGAGGTAAGCGCTAAAATCTATGGTGAATTAATAAATTGACTGAAAATCAAATGAATAGCAGAGGGTGAATATAAAATGTGCATCAAATAGTTTAAAGTCATATGTAGGTATGCCTAAATCAACAATATCATTTTGTTTAACTTTTTCTTTTGGATGTCAGAACAGCTGATTCTGTTAAATTTCTCAACTAACAACTAAGCAATATCTAGGAAAGGGTTCTGCTACTGCAACATCGTGTATAGAGATCACATCTGTACATCACCATACCATGCTACATTATGATTCACCATTAGCTAAAAGCAATCCTATATAGCATACTCTGCATGCCATAACTGATTTCAGTTGCGTAGTAGGTATTATGAACAAATAAGTCCCCTCCCCCTCTCATAAATTATAATATATCTGTAAGTAAACCTGAAAAGGCAAAGAGAAATACCTGTCAAGCCTGTTGCTAACAACCCAAGGTACTTTGTTATAGGGAAAAGATGTGAGACACTTGATTGATCCAGAAGCTTATCCTGCATTGAATTTCCAAATTTACACATTCAGCATCGCTAATTAATAGAGATGCAAAGTCCTCTCAGGGTCAAACCAATTGTACTCACCGGAACCTTCTTTTGGGTCACCACACAAACTGAATCTTTACCCCGAACACCAATAGAAGTAATTCCAGCAGCCTTTACAGCCTTAAATGCATATTCTGTTTCCCATTACAATAAATAAATAAATAATCACTAGAGTTGTGAGGACACAGTATGATCCCCAAATTGATAGGTTAATCTTACTGACTGAAAGACCACTAGAGAAAGATTAGATTGACATCTATTGAGAATATATTGAATGAAAAAATTTACCTCGACTCAAGGCATAAGCTTTAACGAAAAGTAGTGTGATATATCATGGAATCATAGTAAAAGTTTCCAGGTTTCCATGGATTAGAATTCATGAAATAAACTAATTGACGAGCCTAGAATGAGTGATATTGAAAATAAAAATATGTAATTGAATTCATCCATGGTTAACAGCTTAAACGTTTGACCAGTGGAATTTGACAACATCCAAATCGCCCAAACCTAGATGTATCTGTGCATAAATAATGAAAACGAAATATATATTGAAGCTTAGAAACAATTTAAAGAGGAAGCAGGATTAAGACGTTCCATGTAAGACTTCAAAAAAACAAATAGCTCAAACATTCTGTAGTTGTAGAGTTCGAATCTGTTAAACAAAATGAGCTACGAATTCGTATTGGAACTAAGAAGAACGCAAACAAAAGGCTACAATTCAATCCAAAGACTCTCGTCATCTCAAAATTAAATCCAATCCACACAACAGTTACAATCAACTTTTCGCTATCAAATTCGATCCATCCTGCACTTCTTCCTCCAGATTCGTTAGCAATTCGAAAGGGATTCGAGCTCATTTCGAAGAACAACGCGAAATAACCATTTCCAAAGACACCCTAAATGATCATGAACGCCACAAAAGAGAATCTAAAGAGCAAAACAAATGACTGCAACGGCAAGAAGTAAGATACGATCAAGATATTGAGAGAGGAAATGTACGTACCAACTTGAAATAGACGGCCTTCGGGTGAAAAAATTGTGATGTGACGATCGTATCCACCTCCACTTCCACGACTCATGACTTAGGGCTTAACTTCTTCCGATTCTTCTCTTGCAGAGTTTCAGTGAAATTGATGAACAAGTAGAACGAGTGATAAAAGGAGAAGCTATGTTAACAAAGCTTTCTCCCCAAGAATACTCCTATGAACACATCACCAGTAGTTAGTTTTCTTGTTTGGAAGAAAAGCTAACTGAGTGAGAACGGCGTCGTTTCATTTTCAATTCTCTTAGCTTAATAGTTAACTTTCATATCAAGCTTCTTTCATCAACTCAACTCTCAACGATACTGTCCACTTTGAGCATAAGCTCTTCTGACTTTACTTTGGACTTTTCTAAAATACCTCGTACCAATGAAGATAATATTCTTTAATTATAAACTCATGATCATTCTTTAAATTAGCCGACGTGGGACTTTCATCCAACACAGATGTCAAACTTATCTCTTGCAAGTGAGTTTACAAAATAAAGCATCGTCGAGATGAATCAGTCAAGAAATACAAGCTTCATTTGGATGCAATTTGACAGGTCTTGAGGTATGTTAAAAGTAAAATCATATACGATCTTTTGTACACAAAAAAAGCGAAGATTACAAGCTAGTTGGATACTATGATTCTAACTATGTAGAAGACCACGATACTCGAAGTTCAACCACTGGGTATGTGTTTAAGACCATAATACTCGAAGTTCAACTACTGGGTATGTGTTTAGGACCATGATACTCGAAGTTCAACCACTGGGTATGTGTTTAAGACCATGATACTCGAAGTTCAACCACTGGGTATGAGTTTAAGCTCGGTTCGAAAACAATTTCTCGGTGCAACAAAAGACAACCAATAGTATCATTGCCAATATTTCTCTTTGAATTTTCTCTTTCCTATTCTTTGTGTTCATCTTGATCGAGTATGTGCGTTGTTGAGCTATTAGCTATTCTAACAACTGGTATCGATCCTAACAAGTGGGACGTGAGTACTGAAAAATTATCAATATGGCTACCCATTTTGGGATACTCTCACCATTAACTAACTCAGATTTACGATTACAATAGCTTCGATAAACCTATTTTATAAGAACGATGCATACCTATAACTCATTTTGGAGTTATGAAACCAAAAACCCTTCATTCACATTGATTCAAGGGTATACAGAAACACAACATTCATTCAAAACATGTTTTTGAGTGGAACATCCAAACTTAGCCATGTGAATGCCAAAAGTAGCACCAAATTAGAAGGCTCTAACTTCAAGTATGAGTACCCCGAAACACTATACAAACCCAATACTCGAATCTGTAAAGTCAAAGATGTTTAACGTATAAGCAATGACAACATGAGATATCTTATAAACATGATTCAAAAACAAAACAGACCGATGTTTGACTCCCATCTCGATTCAAGAACAAAATGTTCGTTGCTGTAGAGAACTCACTCGAATTTGATTGTAGCGATTTCGAAGCTCGATCGGGTTTGAAATTTGGGATTGAAAAATGGGAAAGGATTATAATAAAGGGCCGACATAAGCTTTGAGTGGAAGCATGTACGCAATCGTATTATCTCGTAGTTGTAGAAAGGGTTCCACATTCATCTCTCATATGTCCCTCAAATACTCGTGCATTATTTCCTTGTTAGCTTTTCAAGTACAATTTTAGGTTTTCAAGAACTCTACCACGTGTTTCAAATACAAACAAACTCAATTCCCATTTCTTTTAATTATTTAATTAATATGTGGTTCTACATTTTTCACCTAATGTTCTTTTATGAAAAAAAAAGTAAATAAATATTTGTTTTGAACTTTTATAAACGTTTTAAAACAACTCGCCAGCCATGAAGCTGAAATCGCTAGTAATTACTGGTCAGCTATACGGTGGTGAATTCGTTCCCGGGCCTTGTACACACCGCCCGTCACACTATGGGAGCTGGTCATGCCCGAATTTGTCCGCTTTGACCTGTTAGATATCTTTGTGTAATCTCATGGTTTTAGTACACGTATGCTATGGAGAGGTTTTCATACCCTTATAAGGTTAGTTTCGTTCCCCTCTCTAATTAATGTGGGATCTCACAATCTACCCTTGTGGGCCAGCGTACTCACTAGTACATCGTCGGTGTTTGACTTTGATTCCATTTGTAACAACTCAATCTCATCGCTAGTCGATATTGTCCGATTTGGCCTTCGTTCCCCTCTCTAATTAATGTGGGATCTCACAATCTACCCTTGTGGGCCAGCGTACTCACTAGTACATTGTCGGTGTTTGACTTTGATTCCATTTGTAACAACCCAAGCTCATCGCTAGTCGATATTGTCCAATTTGGCCTTCGTTCCCCTCTCTAATTAATGTGGGATCTCACAATCTACCCTTGTGGGCCAGCGTACTCACTAGTACATCGTCGGTGTTTGACTTTGATTCCATTTGTAACAACCCAAGCTCATCGCTAGTCGATATTGTCCGATTTGGCCTTCGTTCCCCTCTCTAATTAATGTGGGATCTCACAATCTACCCTTGTGGGCCAGCGTACTCACTAGTACATCGTCGGTGTTTGACTTTGATTCCATTTGTAACAACCCAAGCTCATCGCTAGTCGATATTGTCCGATTTGGCCTTCGTTCCCCTCTCTAATTAATGTGGGATCTCACAATCTACCCTTGTGGGCCAGCGTACTCACTAGTACATCGTCGGTGTTTGACTTTGATTCCATTTGTAACAACCCAATCTCATCGTTAGTCGATATTGTCCGTTTTGGCCTGTTATGTATCGTCGTCAACTTTAAGGTTTTAAAACGTGTCTGCCAGAGATAAGTCTCTACACCCTTACAAAGAAATGTTTTGTTCCCCTCTCCAACCAAGGTGGATCTCACAATCCACCCACATTGGATGCCAGCGTACTTATAAGCACACTGTCAGTGTCTGGCTTTAATACCATTTGTAACAACCCAAGTTCATCTCTAGTAGATATTGTTCCGTTTTGACCCGTTACGTATCGTCGCCAAGCTCACGGTTTTAAAATGCGTCTGATAAAGAGAAGTTTCCATGTCCCTCTAAAGAATGTTTCGTTCCTCTCTCCAACCAATGTGGGATCTCACAATCCACCCTCTTTGAGAGCCCAGCATCTCTTTAATACACAACCCAATGTCGGGCTCTAATACCATTTATAATAACCCAAGCCCACCGTTGGTAGATATTGTCCACTTTAGCCCGTTACGTATCATCGTCAACCTCACGGTTTTAAAACTTGTCTACTAAGGAAAAGTTTCCACACCCTTATAAGAAATGATTCGTTCCCTTCTTCAACCAATGTGAGATCTGACAAAAAGTAGCTAGCAATGATTCAGAACAATGTAACAATATTCAGACCTCACTAAGTGATTGTCGCACTATTTCCGAGTAAGAGATTTATACTTAAAAATTTTGAAACGTTTATAAAATATCAAACATATAAATAATTTTTAAATAAAGGGTCCATTAAACTATGGTATAAAACACCAATAGAAATAAAACAAGCCCATCTCTCTCTTTTCAGCTAATTGGCTCTCTAATTGAGGTTTTGCCTTTAAAGTTAACCCCCAAAGGCTTCTCCACCATTAGAGACTAGCTTTGAAGGACCCCTCAAAGGCCTCTCCTTTGCAAAAATGAAGGTAAATTTTAAACAAATTTGCATGTTCTTTTCTTTTTCTTCTTCTATTTTTTGCTAATTAGCCCTTCAATTTTGATCATTTTATTTTTGGTTTCAGTTCTTGAGTTGGATGCAAAGTAATAAACTCCATGGAAGAGTAAAATTTCAGAACAAATCATCAAATTCAAACCCTTCAAGTAATTGCACTAAACTTTTGTTTTTTTTTTTTTGTTATGAACTCACCATTATTTTACATGTATGATCATGATCTTTCATGAACAATAATCAGTTGAGCAACCTGAAGAAACCAGCCCCTCTTTGCCTCTTGGCTTGCTAGCAATTGGAACTTTTGGCAACAATGTGTTAAGAACGAACAAGACCGATGTTGAAAACGTCGTCGTCGATGCTCGGTCTCCAGGGAAAGAAATGGAAGACGTTGAGCTGAGGGAGATTGATGATGAAATGAAAGAGAAGATTGGTTTAATCATTGGGGATGATGAGAAACATAATCCCAAATCCATTGTTAGGAGATCTGTTTCATTTCTTATCAAGAAGGTCTTTGTCTGTGGCGGAAGTGGTTTTGCACCGCCGCCGCCACCGCCGAACTTCATAGATACACCGCAAGATGCAACGATGAAGAAGGTACGTAAACAACTGATATCAATGTATAATGTCTTAACGAGTATATTAGGTCGAGTTATAGTTGGTGATCAGTAATAATGTGCAGATATTGAGGATGATGCTTCACAAGAAAATTTACCCTAAGAGTTCTTCACAAACAGCTTCATTGAAGAGATTCATAAAGGAGAAAGAGAGGAGAGATAAGAGAAATGAAGAAGAAGAACGATGATTGTAATGTAAATAATTGAGGGTCAAAATGGATTCAATAATGTAAGCTAGAGAATTGAAATTTGAATGGCCAATAGCCATAAACCCACATGATCTTGTTTCCCTTTTTAACAATTGTCCCAAAAGCTGATGATGTATTGAATCTTCTTGATCTTATATATTTTACCCGATTTTTAATTATAGATATCGGGTTCCTCAAATGCACATAAACTAGTATAATTTTTAAGAATTTGACTAAGAATTCAAATGTTTATTTATATTCTAATTGGTGTACGTGAAATCAAATTAACCTGAAATAAAAAAGAAACTATAATATTTTACTCTCTTTTTTTTTGTGATTTTAAGTTTCATATTAGTTAATCGAGACAAACTCACTTAGCCAGTTGAATCGAAACAAGATACACATAATATAATACAAAAGTAATCAATCTCGTTTTTTAAAACTTGAAAGTTTTTAAACTTTGATTTTAAAATATAGACAAAAGTAGACTTGACGAACAATCTAGAAAACTAACCTTAAATTTGAGTTTGATTAAATGATGAGGAATTTTAAGACATCATTGATATGATTAGAAGAAACTATACGATGTAAGTATGTTCAAAATAATGGATGACACAAACTTTTGATCAACCCAATTCAACCTAACCGTGGGTACGATTATAAACTAATTTGGATTAAATTGGGTTCAAATAGATAAAAACCTTATGAATTTGTTTGATTTCTCCGTCCCCAAAACCTAGATTTGGTTGAACACAACCAATTTGGAGTTATTATGGTTGGATGAAAGTCCCACATCCGCTAAATTAGGGAATAACTGTGGGTTTATAATAAGGAATACTATCTCGTAAGGCCTTTTGGAAAACCCAAAGTAAACCTATGAGAGCTTATGCTCGGGGGAGACAACTCTTTAAAATAAATTTTAAATAAATAAATAAATATTTTACCAACTACCTACAAAAGGTATGAGTGGGGTTTGTGTAGTTTTGATTAATTCACAGTCAATCATCATGGTTCCGTCAGTCCACGAATACATCTTCGGAACTCCCTGCATCGGCTCATATCTTGACCGTAACCACATCCTCCCTTCTCCAAATTCTTGCCTGTTCTTTCCACTCAAGATTCAATCTTCTTGTTTTGGTTTCATTGTGCAGGGAAACTACTGATACTGCTTCTTGATGGGCGATGTATCATTGGCACTATGTGTGCCTTCGATCAACATGGCATATCTCATCCCCTCATCTATGTATATCAATTCATGCAAATTCATGGGATTTATAGTACATATGTGTGTGTGTGCAGGGAATTTTGTTGTTGAGAGTGCGTTTGAAAGAATTGTTGCTGAGAATCAGTATTGTGATAAGCCCATGGGTTTGCTTGTAGTTCGAGGGGATAATGCTATGTTTATTGGGGAGATGGTAATCTCATTTCTCTCCTAATTCATTCATTTCTACTTCCAATTCAATCCTTGATTCTATGTACTTTGTTTATCTGCCTCAGGACCTCAGCTTCCCAGAACTTCCTCCCCATATCACTGCTGTCTCGCTACCTCAGATTCTAATTGTAACTCTCTCTCTCCCTTTTCTTACCTTTTTTTTCTTGCATTCATGAGCAAATTCTTGGTCAAGATAGTAGATGACATGATCCACGTGGGTGTAAAAGATCGAGTGGGATTTGTAAGTTTGGTTATAGCAAGGTCTTGCTAGTAAGTGTTCTTGTTTCTATTGTTAGGTTGGGTAGTCGTCGTTTATGGTGTTTCAATCACCTTTCAATGGCTCTCTTTCCCTCGGGGAGTGGGTTAGCCTCCAAGAATGCTTGTTTCCATGTCATTGGGGGCCTAAGAATTCTACATGTACTTCTTTGCTATTTCTACTCGATTTGGTCTTAAAAGTCTGGCTGGGATGGACGCAGGCTAGGAAAGCAGAGTTGGAGTCATCAGCGCTTAAAAGAACCTTGAAGAAATGGATGGAGGAACTGCTTGATGGTGTTTGATTGGTTGGAAAGAACCTTGGAGGAAACACCATGTCCAATTTCCCTCCCTTATATTCTCTATTTCAATCAATTACAGTGGAATTAGCCGTCTTTATTTCCTTTTGAAAAAGCATCACTACCATTAGTCCACAAATTAAGACTTTCCAACTCAAAACCATCCAAATTCAAGGCAAAGTGGCCAATAACCGGTCGCTTTAGAGGAGCCTTTTGTAACTAATAAAGCAAGACTAAGTGTCCACTGAGTCACCGAAGTAGAAATGATAGATCTATCAAATCCAAGAATTAACTGTTGGTTACGTGGGATAGGCCTATAATGTATCCATCAATCATGGTAACAACCAAATAAATTATTCAATGAAACTTCTCGAACGTGACTATCTCGTAATAACTGTTGGATGTACTTCTAAATACTTTTATAGATAATATCTCATACATCTAATAATGCAAAACTATCCGTTAGACTGGGTCAATTTTCGTGAATAATTTCTAAACAAAAGTTTTTCCCTAAGAGCTTGCTCTAGAAATAATGGGAGACATCAACGAACAGCTGTTGTCAAAAACAAAAATGGCAGACAGTCTCATGTGCTAATGAAGCCAAATCCTAAGGCTCAAAATTGCAGGTGCCTAACTCACCCATTTGCAAAACTGCCAGAATACTTTTTATAGGAAATCCAAAAAAGATGAGAGCATACATAGATGACTGTACCATCACCATCATTACAGTTCATTAACAAAATATTCTTTTTCCTTATGTTAGCAAACAGTATTAAAGTGGGAATTGAAGGAATCTACCAGAACAGCCAGAGAATGTGTAATCCGAATCAAGGATGCCTATATTTGATGGTGCACAATGATGGAAACACATTTTAGATTTCTGGGCAGTTGAAAAAGTTGATGCACAAATGCCAAGCTAAAGAGTAAAAACAAAGACCATGTATACTCAATGCACACTACATTTCTACGGTTCAAGTTCATATAACAAATGCCCCTACAGATATGACCAAATTCAGTAAGAAATAAAAATAGTTATTGATCTACATCTCCATTAATATGATGAACTTTTAGTAGAACAAAGGATAAAAATAAATAAAGTAGATTAGGACCAAAAAAAAAAAAGGACAATATGTGTTCATTGTAGAGATATAAAGGTAATTAATATACAATTTAAAATATGATCTATTATACTCACGAGAGTACAAAGAAATGAGTGGAAAAAAACTACTAAATTGTCGACCTAAGCATGGTTTTACTTGTCAAGGCATTACTTGTCTATCTAAAGGTAGTATGTTCCAACACTCACCTCTTGAAACTTTGGTAAGAAAATAATCGAAAAGAACAATCAGAGTTAGGCAGACACATGACTGATGAGAATCCAGGCAGGTGACTGAGTGAGACTAGGGAGAGACTTCCACTCTCAATTTCAAAGGAAAAAAAGTTGCTCTGTATTTAATGTGTCCTTTCTTGTCTGAAAATATTGTTCCTATTTGTATATCATGTTTATCTCTGTTCAATAAACTAGGTGTCTACATCATAACATATATATGTATATGTAAATAAGACTGAATCAGAACTAAGAACTAAAAAAACTAATAATCTGCAAATTAACATAATGAAGTAATACCAAAGTCGGTTCAGTCAGTCAACTGAAAAGCAGATTGCCCTCAGTTTTAAGGCTATTAGGTAATCTGATCGGAAAGGCGATTTAATGTCCCCAGGTTTTTGGGCACCAATTGAGTTTAAGTAAAGCACTTAAAGCCCCTACAATACACTTTTTACCCACAATGAATGGCAAGTAACAGTCCTCCAGAATAATGAAAGAAACAGAAACAATTCACTGAAAAGCTATGGCTGGCTAAATGAGAAATGGCTTAGCAGTATACAAGCATTGTAGTACAGTCTGCAACCACATCAAAGGATTTTGAATAGTGTCTGAAGTTCCAGCCAACTAGTGTCTAATGTGGAACTATTTGCTAACAGATTCGAAATCTGGAACTTAACTAAAACAGTCAACATCGCTGAGATCAGTTGCTATGTTTTGGGTTCAAAGCAGGGATGTTACTTTATGCTCTTCATTTGCTATTTATAAAGGCTTCCAAAGTTTCATCAATTGAATAGAAACTATGTGATAGACATCTAAAATTGTTTTGGAAAAGAGGGAAAATGGTAGACTGAAAGATTATCAGTGACTGTGTCTCCACATTAGAACAAAAATACAGCATGGTGCAGAACAAAAAAAACAACATGGTGCAGTCGACTTGAATGCTTAGAAGGAGACAGCCAAATAATTTAGATGTGCAAAATAAGAAATGAAAAGCAAACAAAGAACAATTCCAATATGAACAAAAAATTTAGAAAAAAATGTGGTAAGAAAACAAGTAACATGCTTACAAGGCAGGAGAATTCAGGCCGAGGATGTGGCTCCATTGGAAAAATAAAGCAGATCAGTTGCAGAACAGGGTCACTCCCAATACTAGAATGATGAACGACGAAGCTTCATAGTGGATGACGAGAAAGAAGGCAACCACCATATCATCCCAAAAACTCCACCAAAAATTGAAAGAATTTGAGTAACTTGAAAATGGAGTAGCATGCTATTTCTATCTATCAGTGGGATCTCCTTCTCAAGTTATGGGTTACTGAGCAACCCTCAAAGAAATCCAAGATGGCATTTTCCAGTTCCTCGACCGAGTACTTGATGTAATTTTCCGGGTGCTTTCCACTCTCTATGTGGTGGCCATGGAGGCCAAGAAACGACCTGTAAGCTGGGATCAACTTTTCAGTTATGGATATGCGAAGCTCCTCCCTCAGCTGAGAGTCTGGTATCAACCATGCTGATTGTGTCCTGTGAACCTCCTCAAACATGGCATTGAAAGTCTTGAATCTTTCTCTAATAAGGCTCTTTGCGGGGCCGGAAGACAAGCTCCCGCCCACATTCAACCCTTCGTTTCGCAGGCAATACAGCACATTCACCCACGTTGTTCTCTCGTAGTTTGTCGCCGCCCGTCGGAACTTCCCGGTCAGCCTTTTCAGATAAACGTCTCCGATCATTTCTCGCAATTCTGGGGATAATTTTATCTTCTGAACAATGTAATGAACGTTGTTCATAATGAATAGGTGAGCTAGAGAAGGGTCTCTGTAGTGCCTGGACTTTCCCTCCAAATTGAACTGCAGAACCACGATGCTCCATATAAGATGGAGCGCTAATGGCGTTTTACCCTCTAGCTCAGCGAAGTCCATATCTGGGGTTGTGGGGTCGGCCGAGTACCTCGAGCCCGTCGATGGTTTGGACACGATGAGCTCGTCTAACGTCACTTTGTAGTCCGAAATCAGACTCACATAGTTCATTACATACCTTGTCAACGGATGAAGCGTCCCACCGGGAACCGGCTGCAGAGACGGATCTCGCATCACCGCGTTTTCAAACTCCGACAAAGTCCCTCTGACGGCCTCCGCCAACCGCGACAATATCTCCGCCGTCTGAATCCGAATATATTCCGCTGATTTTGAATCGAATATCACATCGATGTCAGGAATCAAATCCGTTAAGGCATCGTGGAGGTCTAGAATCTTGAACAGCTTCTCCGGCGATCTGCGGCTTATACTGATCGCTTCGGCGAAATTAAACAACTGAACCACGGGGCCCTTTACAGTCTCCATGAAACAAGCATCGTCTATGGCTGTCCCTATGCCGTAAAAGATTTGCTCGCAGAGCTTCTTCTCACTGGCAAACAAGGTCCTAATAGAAACCTTTGCTGCTTTAATCCACCTTCTGATCTTCATCTCCAGCTCATTCCAGTCCAGCCTCTGGATATCTCCAATGCTCAGTTTCTCAATTCCGAGACGTCGGAAGCTGGAGTCGAAGGTGGACTTTCGCACACTGCCATAGACTTGGATACACTCGCGCAGGTACCCCGCCGTAATCATCCGCTCAGCAATACTTCGTAGATCGATAATCGCATCGGAAGGTATCAGATCAATTTCACGAATACTACTCATCGCCCGATAGCTCGATCGGCCACTTGACCCAAACCTTGGACTGCTAGTGCTACTTAAATCAAGCTGAACTTCCTGCGAATCCGCTTCCTCGTCGTTTTCATCCTCGAATACACAACTCTCAGTAGTGGACATAGAGCGAGAAGAGGAACTCGGATCAGTAAGCGACTCAACCTCGATTGGAGTGGTATGACTAGACAGAATGTAACGGAACTCATCCTCAAGCCTGGCCATGGCGATCTGCATAGTGGAATCGACTTTGTTCTGATCGTCGGAAATGGAAGCCGACGACATAGACCTCTGGATTTCATCGACGGCCTGCAAGTATCGGTCGATCTCTTCCCTATCTGAGTCAAAAATCATCTTATCCTTCAGTTCCTCCGGCGCAGCTGAGTCCCAGCGTAGAATAATCTCCTCGGGCGCTTGTGAAAGTTGATGAGACGGCTCCATCAACAAACAAGAACACAAAAATTGATTCGAAAGAAGGATATGGGTAGCGAGTGTTGAGCGGATGGAGTGAGAGGTCCTTCTGTTTCAGCGGGCAATGAAAGGACAGCTATGGCGGAAGCTTTTGTCGTGAAGCGAGTGATGATTGGGAAAGAAGAAGAGGAGGAGGAGGAGGAGGAGGTAGCGCTTGTGGACTTTATTTTGACTTTCTTACTGCCCTCTAAATTATTCTTTTTTTTTTTCTTTCTTTTTTTGTGTAATTTTTTAAAACAACCCATCTTTTTTTCCACTTTAATTATGAACAATTATTGGATCCAACATATATTTTTCTTAATTTATTAACAATAATAGATTTGCAAATCAATGGTGCTTCAGACAAATGTATTATATATTTCATTTTTCATATGCTTTTATATATTTTTTAATTATTATTTCAACAAATAAATTATTCTTATGGTTAATATTTGGGTTTTTGTAATCGGCTAAAAAAATTTTACTAAAATTATATAAAAATATAAATATAAATAAATAGGATAGGATAGGATATTTCAACCCTAACCCTCGACCAGAATAACCCGCATAAAGCTCATAATTCAACCCAACCACAAGTGGGTTAACTCATA